AGTATAAATCTTTGACATTCATAACTGAATTTGATATCACTCAACTACTTTTCCAATAAATGGTTTTATCTTCACGACTACAAAACTTGTGATCTGTGTTAGCAACTTCAAAATTAACATTGAAAGGGTCATTTTAACTATGAATTATCAGATTTCTAACAGAAAAAATAAAAAATTCATTTCATGACAATTACTATAGGGAAACTAGCGCTACAAAAATTCAAACTAGAAAAAAATCTGTAGATAATATTTGTTTTAAGCTATAAATGAAGAACGAGTTTCGTTTCTTTCAGATGTTCGAAAAAAAGGAAATTCTTACTAACCATTGTCACGAGCAAACCATGTTCCAAATTGAATTTGTGTAACATGTCGGAAAGGCATATCAATCGTCTTGTATTGCTTCATTTCAGATAAGATATTTAATGACATCAGAAGATCCGAATGGTCAAAATCCCTCCATTGATCTATAAAAATAAGGCTGGATTTAGTTGAATACAAGATAGACCAATCTTCATGAGGAATCTTCTTTTTTATTCAATCGTTTCAATAAAATTTCATAGTTTCGATTTTTCTCTATAGTTTGTTTTTCAGAAATAAAACACAGTGAAATTATTGATAAAATGAAATTGTAACCTTAATCACTTATCTATTATTTCAACCATCAAGAAAATCCTTGAAGTGACAAAGGAAAATTTACTTTTGTATACTTTGATCCAAGAAATCTTAGGAGATAATTCCTTGAATCGTTCGAGAAATAAATAAAATGATGGATGTAACCGAAACAAAATTTTGTCAATATATGGCCAATTAAAAATATATGAATGATTACTAAAAGAAAAGAATATAATTAAATAAAGAAGTTCTGAGAATTTTTATAAAACTAAATATCTTACCTAGGATTATCAGAGAATTGTAATCTATCAGTTAAAGAGAAAAGATGTTGACATGACATTATTGGATCAAATAAATATTTAACATTTGTCCATTGATGTTCAACAAAAAAAGAATGAATTTTAAATGAATTAATTATTTTTTCTATGTCATTCAATGATGATTGACATTCTGAACAAATATAAAAATCAAAATAAATTAAATTAATTATTTTTGAAGGTAAACAATATTGACGAACAAAATTTGCATCAATAACAGATTTCCATATACTTTCACTTTCTCTTTTGATGAATTCATTATTTCTAAGATGAACTTGAAGCTTTTCAATATAATTTAAATTGTTAAGAAGCCATTTCAAATAAACAAATTCTGAATCATCACAAATCAAAGTTTTTAAACTAAAATATCGTAGTTTTGGTATCTAAAAAAAATATGATATTGTTTTTTTTTATTAATCGAAAGAAAGATCTTTTTGAGAAATTCATAAAACAAGAAAAATTAATTTTCTTACTTTATTAAACCAGTTTTCATTTGATTGCCTTAAAGTTTCAACATTCGATTTCTCAAATGAACCGAATTTTGATACATAATGAAATTCAACTAATAATTGTTCGAGATTGGGGACATATTCAATAAGATTTTCAAGAAAACATGTTTGATTAAGTCGAATATATAAACAACGAAGAGTCATACAATACGATTGAAATTCATGTTGAATAGGATTGAAAGAGAGATAAGACCTTGATTTTAAACATCTATGAATAATACTACCTCTTAAAATATTGCTAATATCAAGTCGAAGAGATTTTAGTTGACATTGACCAGAGAATAATTGACAAAGAAGTTCTTTGATCATGTTCATTCGTCTTTCTATTTCTTATCAAAGAAAAAAACAAAAATAGAAATTATCTATTATTAAAAAGAAAATCTTCTGGAAAACATAATCTAAAAGGGGTATTCAAGTATATAGGGTAGACAGTAACAGATATTGATATGGAAACGTCGTAAACACCTTAGCAACACTTCATAATACAGGATAGAGCGAAAGTTAGTTTGCCGAAAAAAAATTCAACATCACCATCACGGTTTCGGGCAAACGAGCTGATTTTTTTTATAAATGATGGAAGCATGTTCAAGCTTTATATCCATAAAGACATGTTCAAAGAGATCCTTTGTTGAATATCAGTGATCTCAACAAAAAAGAATTTACTTTTTCATAGATTAAAAAACAATATACTTAAGAAAGGATCTCGTTAAACATGTCTTTACGGATATAAAGCATGAACATCCCTCAAGATTTGCTCAGTGCTTACAAAAATGGCATACTAGAATTTCTTTGAACATACAATTAGAAAAAGCTTTTAACTTAGATCCTGCACAGGTGTTATCGGTTTTTCAGAGCATGTTTTACCTGATGAAAAATGAAACGGTATTTTTTTAGGAACTATTACAATACCCATTATTCGCATGACATCTGAAAGAAGTCTGAAGTACTAATTCTCTGATTTATTTACTCGGCAAATGTCACTTTTTTCTTCGTCTCTCCTAAATTTTAGTTTCATTGATATGATTTATCGGAGAATGCGATGAAGAGCATAGAATATTTAACTACATTGATTAGCTCACTATTTTCTCGTGGCTTCAGGTCTGATCTAGTCGCAGTGAACCTTCAATTCTTCACTTCAGTACGGTTTCGCATATGTCAAGACATAATTTAAGAACAAATCAATGGAGATACGAATGAGTTTGCGCTTTTTCTCGTTTCAATAAGCTCTACTCCATGAGATAATTCTTATATTAGAAACATTCTATCATGTGACCAAATTTTCTTGTTTAAAATTAATAAAAGTCGATTTTTAATTTCTAGTACAACAATTAGTATTTTCCAAAGGTACCTTGCAATTCGATTATGGTTATAACTTAGACCGTATTCTTAAAATAAATAGGAATATCCATGATGAAGATAAGAACATCTAAAACGGATCATTCTTCTCATAGAGTGAATTGAAAATGCTAACATAAGAAAGTATCTCTTATAGGATATATATAAACGGCTATTCATAAGCTATTAATTTCTTTCTTCAAAAATCAAACTTCTAAAGGTGAAACCATTTTGGTTTTAAATAAGTGAGTAACTTGTGTATTCATTCGAAAATGAATTTAATTAGCAGTCAGCACTTAGGTAATTTCCACTGAAAAATGACTTATTACTATTTCGAAAAAAAGTAGACAAGACAAACTTGATATTTTTCTTTTAGGAAACGAAAATTACAGACGAATTGGGAATTAATATTTTCACTCTACGTTTCTTAGTGCACAGATTTATGTACTTTTTGATAGTCCCAATTGAGATGACTTTTTCACCATAGACGAAATTCTTGTTTTAAAGTAACTACAAAGTAAAAGATAAATTACCTGCATCAGAAATCATTTGCAAATCTTTTTTTTCATAACGAACTCGTCTGAATCCTTGCTGATTAAATGTTAATGTAAGTTCATCTAATTGATGTTCAATAAGGTAAGATAAACTTTGAACTACTGCTTCAATTGATCCACATCGAGTAAGAATAAGTGATTTAAGATTAGAATAATGAAGGATTTTTTTCTCGTTAAACAACCATTGATAGATAAGATCACAAGCAATTGAATTTGTTTCATCAAAATGAATTCGTTGAATAGAAGAACAAAGAGATGAGGAATTTATAATCAATGGAAATAATATTGATGAACATTTATTATAAGATAAACCTTGTGTAATAAGAATGCCACTATTCGATATACGGTCATTTATTGAAAGAATTGAACACACAAGCGAATCAAAACGAATATTTAATGACCAAAAAGATATTAACATATCATACCATGATAAATAAGAAAATATATAAAGAAGAATTTCATTAGGTAGTGTTTCGATTTTAGTTATCATTTTATCTAAAAACAAGATTATATTAACACAGACTGATAACAATTTCTTTTCTATCAAAGAGATCGAAATACAATGCATTATCAAATTATAATTCTAAAATTCAAATCTTTGATAAAAAATCTAAAACATAATGAAGCTATTTTTAATGAGTGATACATGTCTCTACAAAAGACTGATCTCGAAGAAAATATCCTTCGTGAAGATATTATCTGTGAGAGGGAGTTGAATTTTCTCCTTTTTAGTTCAAATACTTATCATATTTAGTAGTGCACGACATCAATCTGTCTAATTATAATCAATGTGTGTTCTACAATTCATAAATGAAATGATAATGTTAGAAAGTTTCAAGATATGAAATACTTTTCGACAATGAAAATAAAACACATTCGGGTTTTTTCGTTAGATTTTGACTGATTCTAATTACAAGATGAAACACTTACCATTAAATATCATACAATCGATAAGCTATTAGTTTATGTCAAGACTATCGAAAAACAGAATAGAAGAAAGGCGTAAAGTACTGTTGTTTATTTGCATAATTTTTGTATCCAAATCAAAATAAACGTTGAAAAATAGAATAAAATACATACAAACCATTACGCATCATTTATCCCAATGTACATTATATCATAGAATATTCAAGTGCTGTCGTATTTGCTCGTCAATATATGTTAGAGACAGACGGAGCCATTTTTCTTTCTTTCTCATACAAGTCGGAGAAATTCAACAAAAAAAATTCATGTTCGGCGAAATGTTAAACATTAGCCTGGCTAATATATGACGAAAAGGTTATTCTTTTTTTCGTCGTGTTGATCATAGTATAGCTATATTTTTATTTTTTCCGTAAAGGAAAGAGAGAAAACTGAAATGAACACATAATTATATTCGTTGTTAAATTGTTCAGTAATAGCCATGATGAGAATCAGCATAGATAAAAGAGGCAAACCTATCATTATGTTTATCTTTCTGGGTTCATTATTTAAAAGTTGTTGGTTTTACTCTTTGTACACATTTTAATTTCAAATCAAATTACGAAATTTTTTTTTCTTTGTTTCAGATATCTATTAGAAATTTTGTCTTCAGTTTGCAAATACGTGTTGGTTTTTAACTTTCACGTGTTGTTTTTTAACTTTCACGTAGTTGTTTTTTAACTTTCACGTAGTTATTTTTACATTTCACATTTATGATGGATGTCGATATAACAGAATTAGAGATTGAATTCCAAAAAGTAAGCTATAGCTTCTGACTTAAAAAAAATAATCACGGTAATAAAATAATATCTACTTCATGAAATTTTTTAGGTTCTTATTCAATTAGCTAATGAACCATTCAATAAAGAATTACTTCATAAACTTCAACTGATACAAGTAAGAATGCTATATTTTATATTGAATTTTAGAACTTTTTTTTTTCAGAAGCAAATGTTGGTACCATCACCAGCTACTACAGTAAGTAAAAACGACCTTCTTTGACACAGTGACAGCCATTGTAGCTTTTAATTTTTATATATACGTTCGGTTTTTATTGTAGAATCAATCAGGTTTGGATACATCATATTCAACAGCAAGCATTTATGAAGCATCATTATCATCATCATCATCAAATCTTACTAATGTTTGTGTACCACGAACATTAAATATTGACAACAACGAGAACATGGCAGCAAATACTGAAACACCCAGGACGAACAATCCGACAGTGGATCCCATCGGATCCTATCCAGATCCTATAGGATTTTATTGGATCCGGGTCACGATCCGACTAACGGATCCATAGTATTGGAATCCGATCGGATACTATAGGAATCTCGTCGGAATCCGACTGCTGGAGTTCCTATCGAATCCGACTGTTGAATTTGATCGGATCTCTATCGGATCCGATCGGATGTCTCTCGGATTCCAACACTAGGATTTGTTCGTCGGATCGTGACCCGGATTCCGATCGGATTTTGTAGGACTCGTTGGATCCTATAAGATACCATCGGATCCGTGTCGGATTGATTGACCTGGGTTATACAGTATAAGACAAGAATAGAAAAAAAGAACAAAAAGAAAAAAAAATTTTTGAAATAAGTTTTTTTGTTATTCATCTATTTTGTATGAGATGTTGATGAAGTCATTGGTTGACAGAGAAACTCATATTGATCATTAGCATTGATATCAATTGTAATATGACTATTTGATGGAAGTATGTTTTGCATTAACAGTTTTGATAATTCACTTATTATAAAATCATCGACATATTCTGTCAATGGACGAGCACCACGATCTATTTTGTGAATAAAATAAATAGATAAATAAATAAAAAATCGAATCAATTTATAATAAAAGGATTCATCTGATACGAATTACATTAAAATTTCTGTTCAATAAAATACCTGAACGACAAGCTTTTTCGAGAATTAATTGAACAGCTTTATCTGCTGAACTAATTTTAATATTTTGTTCTTTGAATCGTTCCTCCAGTGATTTTAATTTAAGATGAATAATAGAAAAAAGTTGATTATCATTAAGTGATTGAAACAATACAATATCATCCAAACCACGTAGAAATTCAAGTGAAAATGCTGATTCCATCTGTAGAAAAAATATTTTATTATTAAATCTATAGAAAGAAAAAGAATACAAACTTCTTTCATCACAAGATTCTTTATTGTTGGAGATATTTTTTCATTGAAAGGTTTTTCTGATGATGTTAGATTTTTAATTTCTTCTAAAATATGTTTTGAACGAATATTTGATGATAAAACAAGAATTGTATGTGTTAAATCAATTTTCCTGTTTTTTTTCATCCTAATAGATTCAATTTACAAAAATGTTTTAAGTCATAAACATAAAACATACAGTCAGAGAATCGTCATTGAAAACTTGTAATAAAAAATTCCAAACTAGTGAATGAGCTTTGTTAGCTTCATCAAATAAAATAACAGCATGAGGTTGTGCTTGAATATGCTCTATTAATTGTCCATAAACAACATGATCTAAGAAAAAAAAAATCATTGAGATAAATAAAAGAATAATCGAAAATTTCTTTTAACCTGATTGTACATCAATTAATAGAGTAACTGAATCAAATTTTTCATATTTGTTCATATTAATAACAACCATTGATTCTATTGAATCAAATAAGTCTAATGATAATGCTTTTACTAATTCCGTTTTGCCAACACCAATTGGTCCTAGAGAAATAAATAGAAATTATTTTTGTCCACTTGTAATCACAACGTGCAATGCAATCGCATAAATACATTACTGAAGAAACTTGAAACACTACCTCGTTAAATTATATTAATGGCAATAGGATTTTTCATAAGTATTCTTAAATTGAATGAAATATAAATTTCAAATACTTAGGACAGTCAAAAAGTAGTGGCAGTGACACTTTAATATCATATAGTAAGCTTTAAGAAACTTTCTGTCTATACAGTCTGATAGAGAAAAGAATTCTCGATTTTTCTATGCTATCTGATGATACTTCATCTAATATCATGATAAGAAAATTTTGATAAGACCTGTTTTTCTATCATATGGGCAGTTATACGAATGTCTATGTAGTGGATATTTTTTGAATAACTTTTGATGGAAACAAGATAGAGACCTGCAGTTTTCATTGTTCGAAAGAGGAAATGAAGCTACATCAAATCATATATTATAGATTTGTTGACATGGCTTTTAAAGATTTTCAATCGACCTCTTTGAAGACAATCCTACTCTCTAATGTATTTACAGCGAATTCTCAATTGTTAGGTGTGTATTCAAACCAACAATGGAAGGTCTAAAAAATTGCACAAGGTTCAGATGTTTAGAATTAATCATTTCGGAGTTATAGATGTTCTAGTCGCAGCTCTAAGTAATTTTTCTACCCTAGACGAACTTTTTTTTTCTCCCATTCTTGATCCAGATAGTTCTCAAGATGTGTCCATAGCGCATGACTTTCTTGCTCAAGACAAGCGCTTGAGTTTTTGCATGAGTTACAAGAAACTCATGCGCTCAACCCAAAAAATGCAACTATGAATTTTTATTAAAAGTTGAGCTATTTTGAATGTAAAATTGAAAAAAAAAATAAAAAAGTTCTTTAATAACAGGAACGCTTAGATAAGGATTCAAGCGCATGAGCAAGAATATCAAACGATAGAACAAGAAGTTCAAGAACTTGAGCTCACCGAAAGGTTTCAAGTCTTGCCTCAAGATGTGTCCATAGTGCATGACATTCTTGCTCAATAGATTCATGTTTTTCTTGCGCATGCCACAAGAAGTTCGACTAGGGTAGCAATTTCTGTGAATAAATGAAAAATCATTTTTTGCGATACTTAGAAAACTGATTGAAGAAACTTCAGATAACGTCTAGGAAAATATATAATCTACAATTCAATGTATCTTCATCCCCGCTTTTCAACGTTGAAATCCGCAGCACTCTATCTTGTTTCCATCAAAAATCATTCAAAACACATATAGTAAAACCGTCCCATATGATCGAAAAACAGGTCTCATCGACATTTTCTTATTATAATATTAGTTGAAGTATGATCAGATAGCATAGAAAAATAGAGCATTCTTTTTTATATCAGACTGTATAGATAGAAAGTTTCTCAAAGTTTACTACACGGTATTAAAATGCCACTGTCATTACTTTTGGACTGCCCTAAATAATTCAAATTCATTAGGTTCATTAAAAACATGAAAACGACCAGGATATTCTTTTTTTGGTGCATATTCAAAATCATCCATATCTTGTGAAATTATTTCACAATTTATTGTTAAATAACCTTGTGTATCAATCATATAAGATATCATCATTATCTATGAAGAGAATTCAAAAAAAAAAAAAGAAAATTTCTACAGTCTAACATAACCCAAAAAGAACATTTCGCTAATATTTCAAAACTTTCAGTATTAAGGCTCCCTATCCGAAGTTTCTCAGGCAAAAATTATCATCAACCTAAAATGGTCAGAAGTCTGCCGATGCAAAACTCTATATTTCATTTGCTCGAACTGCAATCTTTTTATCACAAGTATATGGTAAACTGGAAAATAGATGATAAGAATCAATAGCAGGATCTAAGAATTCATCTTATCTCATATAGAGTTTAGCCCAAGGAACTTATATCAACTTTTGAATGTGTACATCCCTCGATGATTCTGGATTAGAGTTGATAAAAAAGTTTTATAAACAGCTGAGATGAAATGGGAATGGAAAGAAGATCTTATCTTCGAGAAATCTGTTTGAAGATATACTATCTCTAAAGAAAATACCATACACTTTGTTGCATGTGAATACTGCTAGATAATCATACTTTGAAAAAAATAGAGAAAGATTATACTTTAAGCTATGGAGAAGTCAAGAGGAAGCACATATAATAGATGCAGCTTCTCCTAGATAAATAGTGAATCCTAAAGATCAATTATACAAGGATTTAAAATATCTTTCGTTAATTTCATTATCCTTAAGTCAGTTTCAGTGTTGATGTTTTTTCCTCTGCTCTATGCTCCATATTCAAATCATACAATAGGATTGATGAACGAACAATAGCTTTTTCAAGCAGACATTCTTATTACTGATGGTTTTTCTTCAATTTAACTTTTGTTCCTACTTCCATTTCGTATGCACACTTTTTTGTTTCATTTTCTTCTTTCTTTTATTCTGTTGAATTCATATTGAATATTGTTTTTTATTTAACAATCGTCTGCAAATATGAGACATGACTTTGTGTTGATTATGTTTCATTCGTTTCAAGAAAAAAAAATAAGAAACGAACAAATGTATTTCTTTATTAAATTACATAATTCGAAGAAAAAAAAACCTATTTATGCATAAACTTTCACATATATAATAAACATTATATTATTACGTGCCATACAGGATTTCAGTTAGGAAACTTATACAAAAAAAAAGACCAACATCAATAAACATAATTTTTTCATGACAAGTTCAAAACAGAAAACAAAAACGAAAAAAAAAGAAAAAGTTTCTTCTTTATGAAACAAATATATAATATAAATATAAATAAATTTTAAATTTTATCTAAAATACGTTCGATAATTAAAGTAACAACTTCATGAATGTAATTTAACTCTTGTTGTTGTTGCTGTGCCTGCTGTTGTTGTTGTACTTGATGGATTTGTTGTTGTAATTGATCAATTTGGTCTTGGTGTTGTTTAGGGGTGTCAACTTTGCGTTCCATTCCTGGGAACGGAATGCTGAGGAACGGAGAACGCTGACACCCCTAGTGTTGTTGTTGTAATTGATCAACTTGTTCTTGATGTTTCTTTAAAGTAATTGTTCGAATTTTTGGTAAATTCTAAACAGAAAAATTCTAAACATAACATTTAATTAAAATGTTACTTACTTCATTATTTTTTTGTGATGGACATAATGCATTGTTACAAGCCATCTACAAATCATAAATAAATTGTAGTATTAGAATTTCAGAATAACAAGGTATAGAAATATTAAATATAAATAACATCTTATGGAAGTTTATGGTCGAAGCTGTCTATATTTGAAAATTTGTAAACTAAAAATATTTACTTTGCCTGTTTCCATGATAGGAAAAATTTATAGAGCGAAGTGTTTTAAAATGGAATGATCGGAGAAATCTGAAAAGACCAAAGATGAAATGAATTTTCGATGAGAAATGTATGTTTTTATGTGAAGAACAATAGGCTTTCTTTTAAATTTTGGTCGTCTTCTCTTTATATTCATCAATCAAAAAATACTGTACAATGACAAAAGTATCTATCTATGAGATGTCACTAGAATGGCGTCACATATTATGC